TGTCCTTTGCCTTACAGAAGCTTCTAAGTTTGAAGAGGTCCAATTTATTAATTGTTTCTTTCAGTGTCTTGCCGGTTGTGGTGGCGCACGCCGGTAGGATTTGCTGAAGGAGGCAGAGGCAGGAGGATCATTGTATCTTTTAAAATCTGACCTATGGAATCTATAAAATTAAGACTATAGTGTGGTAACTATATTTACTCCAAATAATGAAATACATATATAACTTTAACATTCATCTATTATTGTCGGTCTACTAGCAAACTTTCTTTCACATACATACATATTAGCTGTTCTCATTTTACTTAAATTGTTTATTTATCCCACATTAAACAATAGCAAATAGCAACTGGCATATAAGTAAAATGCAATTCATGTTTACAAAGTACAAAAACCACTCATGTAACAAAATTGCTCTGCATCACTAAATCATTTTGTAGACATCATAAATATACAGTTAACCACAGTAATCTAAAGAGAAGACTTCTGAGAAAACAAGACTGATGTCGAAGTGAAGTCAATGCAAAACAAATAAATAATAGGTTCTATATGAGTCCTAGTCCTTGGGAGTCACAGAAGCAGGGACATTTGTAAAGTGTCTCTCAGTAGATACAGTCCAACATAAGGACCTTTAAAAAACACCATTTCATTTTTCATACCAACTCATACACCTTACAGCAGGTAAAAATCAGATAAAAAACAGAATGAAGAAGGTAACATTTGGTCTTTACCAAATCTTATTCTGTTTTAGTATTATTAAATTTTGCCAAGTATTAACAGTAAAGGTGGAGTGATTGTAGTCTCCTTAATTTACAACATCACTTTTCTAAACCTGGATATCCATGAGATTATTACCTTATGATCTAATTTGACATGAATATCTGTATACTCCCAAACACTTGGTCATAAATGTCTGCTCCATTATTTAGGCTATGAGCTACATGATTTCAAGAGTTTGCCAAAAATTACTTTGCTAGACTCTTTTAAAGTAAAATAAGGGAGGAGATATCTAGGTAAGGGGATGAAAATAAACCAAAAAAATGCATCTGAAAATGATGTCCTTTCCAAATACCTCCTAAGCCATATGCACTAGACAGCAGCTACTTGAAAGAGAAATGGTAGCTGTTTACAGAATGGCCTTCATATAATGTGTTAATAAAATTTACGAAAAATATATAATAGACAAGTTGAACAAACTACAATAAAAAATAATAGCTCATTGATACATCTAAAATATTTTATGTAGTTGAAGCAATCACCAAGCTAAAATGTAGGTTTCTTTTTCACATTGTAATTGGAACAGTATAAAATGTAAGCCAATTTGGTTTGTACTTTCTAGTATACTTTACAGAATTAATCATTAAATGTTTATAAATTATCTACAATTTGCACTGGAAGATTTATAGTCAAAGTATGTCTATGAAGTCAAGAAAGCATGTTTATTTAATTCTTTTTCAAAAATAAAAATTCATAACAATACTTTAAAGAAGTACAATACAAAAAACAAACTAGACTATTTAGATAGTAATTTCAAGTGTTAAAGTAAAACTAATATGAAAGATGGAAGTATTAAACTCAAGAGGTTTAAGCTATAAATTGACAGCAATTCTTTCTCTGTAGGGGACGAGAGAGAAGACAGTAAGAAATTAGGGATATGTGTTTCTCTACCCTGTGCTAAATGAAATCCCCTATAGTTCATTTATTCACCTAAAATGGACTGACTGTACATTTGACACTAGTATCAAGAAGAATTAAAATAATTTTAAGATTTAATATAGTAGTTCTTCTACTTATCTGATGCAAGCCAATATGTTTTTTGATGCAGGAATGACATCAGAATTTGCTTAGGTGTCAAGCTTAAATTTTACTGTTTAATACCCTCCAGAATACTGTATTTATATGAAATCAAGAAAGACACATTTACTCTACTTAATTATTTTTCAAACACAAAAATGAAGTATTCTACCAGAAGATAAATAAAAGCAAACCAGAATATTTAGATAATCATTTCAAATGTTAAATTAATTTTAATATGAAAATAGTAAAAAGAAACACTATAGTCACGACCATGAGGAGGTTGGTGCAGAGAGATCACAAATTTGAGGATATCATGAAACTATTCATTTTGTGTGTGTATATTACATGCTATGTGAGCATAAGGTGTATGGATTTTCTAAGAAACTGAAGATTGATTCAATTTTAGATTTATTCATTTATTTCTCATTTTTGAGGCCAGGTCTTCCTTCCTATCCTTGGCTGGCTATGACTTCATGATTCTCCAACCACAACATTCAAGTATGGGGGCTATTGGTTGATGTCAGCAGGCCTGACTTCCAGAGTTAGCTTGGAACCATATTTCTCTCCTTTTATTTCATTGTTGAAATCTCTTTTTCACTGCATTCTTTGATTCATATTCATGTTCCCATGTTTCTGATCTTATGACACGCACTGTCTCTCTCTCTCTCTCTCTCTCTCTGTGTGTGTGTGTGTGTGTGTGTGTGTTTGTACATGTACATGCTTTGTGGTTACAAAGTATAAATGTATGTATATATATATGTATGAAGTGTGTGTGTGTGTGTGTGTGTAACTAGAGTCAACCTTAGTGGCTCTTTTGTGTTCTGGAATTTAACACATAGATTTGGCCACCTGACCAGCAATCCCCAAGAAGTTTCTAGCCTTAGTTTTGTTTAATGCTGGGATAACAGCATTCCTGTATGCAAGGTTTTCTGTATGTGAGCCCTAGGAAGCATCATGTCCCTGCCTTAGATGATGGAATTATAAGTGAAGATAAAAAATTGGGAACACAATGCTAAAATAACGCAAATATGTAAAACTCATGTATGGAAAAAATCAGAAATGTGTTTATTTGCATAATGGAGCAAGTTATCACATAAAGAAAATAACAATTTGAGTACATTATGGATGAAAATTGAAAATGCTGTAGAAATTACTAATAAAATATGTTAGAAAATGATTGACTGGCTTCAGGAAGAGAATTCCTATGTTGGGAGGCATTGTTGATCACAAGAACTTGGGATTTTTCTGAGTCAGAAATACCTTAGGGCCAAAGTAATTGGGAGTACCAATGATTCTCATCTTTCAAAGCTGATAAATGCAATAGGTGTGCTTGTTTTTATAATTTTTCACCAAATTAAGTGTTGCTTAAAATTCCAAACTCAAAATCACAGGTAGATAGGTATGTGGTCAATAATGATATAAACACATAAATAGTAATAAAATAAAGCATTCTGGCCACCCTAAGTTTAGCATGGTCAGCCAGCATTTATTTTAAGCATCTCTTTAAAAATCTACAGATAATTGATAATATTCACGTTTTTTTCTATCAAGTATTCTAAGATTCTAAGTAAGCAGTTTTAAATAGAAAATATTAATTATGACTTTACTCATGTTTTCTTGAGATACAAGGCCTAATTCTGAGAAATCCACAATCATTAGGTGAATCATTTCCACCATCTATAAATAGCTATAGTATTGTTTCCCCTGCAAAACACTCAGTCCAAAATTTTGTCTGAACTCTTCAATACCTCAATTTTTCTCTGGTTACTATTACTCTTTTTTTTAATTTTTCCATTCTTATTACATTACTACTGACTTCTAGATTTTCTAGAATGTTAAAATGGCTAATTGTGTTTTACATATTATTTACCTTTTATCATATTACTATTTTCTATAATTCTTTTAAATTTTATTTTATATTCCAAACACAGTTCTCTCTCTCACCCCTCTGCCTATGCTCCCTCACCTCACTCCAAGCCCACCCTCAGAGCACTTCTCCTCATGGTTAAGGGCTCACATTAGGAGTTAACACATCTGGCATAATAAGTTGGGGCAGGGCCCGGCTCCTCTCCCATGCATTAAGACTGAGTATGGCATCCTACCATGAGCAGTGGGCTCCCTCAAGCTAGCTTATGTACCAGGTTTGTCTCGTGGTTCCACTGCCAGGGGTACATCAGATAGTCCAAGCTTCACAACTGTCTCCAACACATAGAGATTCCTACTTAAGTCGCCTGTAATCTCCACATTTGTTAATCTAGATTTAATGAATTTCCATGAGCTTGGTTCAACTGCCTCTCTAGATTTCTCCATCATGATCTTGACCTCCTTTGCTCATATACTTCCTCCTCCCTCTCTTTGACTGGTTGTGCATCCCTGCACCTGGATCCATCAATTACTAGATGAAGGCTCTACGATGATAGTTGGGGTATTCACCTATTTGATTACAGAAGAAATCCAGCTCAGGCATCCTCTTCATTATTGCTAAGAGTCTTAGCTGGGGTCCTCCTTGTGTATTCTTGGGAATTACCCTAGCACTAGGTTTCTCCTATACCTGTAGTGGCACTCTCTATTATTTATTATTATTATATAAGAGGTAATAAAGGAGATATGTTGATTTAATTGCTTTTATTTAATTGATTTAGTTGCATTTTAAAAATCTGAATTATTTTTCAGGGATTTTGTCCTTCTTGTTAGACTTGAATTGATAATGTCAAAGTCTTTGTAGACATATGGTAGTGACTGAAGTGACCTCAATAACGGATAACTTTATTTCTCCTTACACTGTTGACATCCATCAGCGGTCAGTGCTATCCTTGATGATCCTATGTGGTTCTCTTTATTCAGAAAAGTTTAGTTATCTGGCTACACAGAAGCAGTATTTTGTAGCAACACACCAGAGCCCTGTTTGCTATAATTCACCAAGACAAGGTTGGTCCTAGAGATGTATTTAAGACATATGATAAATAATAAAGACACTTCATCCAACAATTCTTCTAAGTTTATGGTATCTGGAAATTCCTCATTTCAGACACTGAAGTATGATAGTTCTACTTCTCTAAGAAGTTAAAACCACTGTATTAGTTTTTCTGTTGTCTTCTGTGTTTTGTAAAGGACAAAGGTTCTGATCATACTAGGAAATGGGACACAAATCAAATCAAGCACAGTCCATAAAATATCTCTTATGGGTTCTTTTGTGTGTTTCACAGAATTCCCAACTTGTGAACCTCTAACTCAGTTCATTTGCAAGAGTGGAAGATGCATCAGCAGCAAATGGCACTGCGACACGGGCAAGTACCATGTGCTCACTGCACAGCACTGAACAAATTGGAGCCCAGCTACCTGAACTGCTTGGGTTCCCAAAGGGAGTTTGCTAGCAAAGCTTTCAGAATCAAGCAAAATGGCTAAGAAAAGTGGTGAGCGGGCAGATGGCTAGTCAATAGGGATCAGCATTAAGGATAATTGACCAGGATATTTGCCCCATGGGGATTTAGCAGTGCTTCATTTTCAGATATTATTTTAGGCATAGATTTAATCTACAAAGATGAATAAAGGAAACAATTAAGGAAATGACCAGAACAAGTTCAGGTTCCCAAAGCATTTATGTAACCATAGCAGTTTATGAATTATTATGCAATTATCCAGATGATCTTACCTCTGTCACCTTGCTTTTTATGGACAGTAATGGTTTTTCCTTGTTCTTAATTGCATCATTATGCCAAGTCATTTTAAGTGCAGGCAAATGAATTATATATTATTCAATGTTGTTTAGTTCCATTTAATCCATTGTCTTTGCATGTCCCCTTCCTCTCCCTCCTGAGCGGTCAATCCTGAGTATAAATCATTTCTCATGTGAACATACAGTTTCCATGTATGAATCCAGTCATGTAGGTAGCAGGGGAGGAATGATCAATGTATCATCATGTCAAAGCATAAGGACAAAGGCACTGAGAAGATACAAGTTCTGAGGCATATACATAGTAGCTTCAAGTCATAATTTCACCATAATTCTTTTGCACTGTATCACCTAACATTCCTATTGTCACCACATTCCTCTTAATATTTGTGGCAGAGAGGTGGTTAGTCAGTGGTTAGTTATTTATGAATGAGTTAGATTTTAAGCTGCAAAATCCAAAGTCAGTGCTTTCTTTCTTTTGGTTTTACGTTTGCTGTTAGGCCAGAAGAGATGTTAATATCAGTAAAAAAATCAGACTAATTGACTCTTTATGGGAAAGGTTTATCAGGAGCAAATTCTGCATAGAACATGTTATAAATTTAAGAAAAAAAATTGTTCTTCCAAATTAGATTTTTACTAGCCTTTAGTGTTTCTTTCCAGATGATGACTGTGGGGACAGGAGTGATGAAGTGGGCTGTGTTCACTCTTGCTTTGATGACCAGTTCAGATGTTCCAGTGGCCGGTGTATCCCAGGGCACTGGGCCTGTGATGGGGACAATGACTGTGGAGACTTCAGCGATGAAACACACGTCAATTGTACCAAATTGGGTCAGTAAATTTATAAATCTGTGAATATCATTATAGATTGATATGTAATTAAACTATTTAGAGTATATTATTAAATCACAAACTGATTGCTGATCAAATTAACAATACATATCAAAAACAAGATAATATGAGCTTTGACCTCTCTGTTTTTAATTTTTTTCATTTCTCTTGTCTCTTACATCAGTGATTTCCACTACTTGGTTGATTTTTGTGCCCACAGTTGTCAATATTCACTAAATGCTTAGTTACCATTTTTCTAACCTTATACAAATTTTAAAGTGTCTCAACAAAGAACAAAAATTATAGAAAAGAATAGTTTTACTTTGACTTTATACCAAATCTCTTTCCCTGACATTTGAGATAAGCATTTAGTAATAAGTCTAATTACCCACATTCCAGCTGATTGACTGTTACAGATGCAATGAGAGAGAGCAAAGAGCTCATGACTGTGTGTCTCAGCAGCATATCTGTGATAAAGCAGACCCTCTCTACAGCATGCTTTGCTTTGTAAAATAAAATCTACCATCCAACATATTAGCAAATTAAAAACAATATTGTAATCACAGAAAACTGTTAGTTTCTTAAACAATAATCCTGTCATCTTTATCATTTAACAGACAAATTCTACTAAGAGAATTTATTTATCAATTCCATATGTATTAATTGAGGACTAAGGGCTAACTAAAATGATTAAAAACCCATGGCCCCTCTTTCAGTAAGTGGCATGCACATGTACAAACTATAACACACTTTGTTTAAGTAAGTGGAATCTAGAGAATCAGTTACAACATGGGTGCTTAGTTTTCAAAGGCTTTCCTGTATAGACACATCTGTTTTCTCCACACATTTTGGAATTCATATGACTGTCAGTGTCTCAAGATTTTTTTTTCCACATGGTAGTCTCTCTATTGGTGTAAACATTGGATAACTCTATATACTAGGTTTTTAAAAGAAGGCACTGGCTTTTATGTGAATTTGCCAATTGATTAATTTTATTGGGTCTGTATTGTGAGAATATAGGAATGATCCAATATGATGGTTCAATGTCCCTGAGCTCTGAAGAAAGGAAACAGAAGTACTCATGGTATTGGTCTTGGTGGTTGGGGGAGAAACAAATTATAAACTAGGAAGAAAGCACAAAATTTCTAATAAAATTTCTCTTGTAGACATTTGAATTTAATGGTTTTTAAATTAGGGGGATTTGACTCAATGATAAAGCTAATATTAAATATAATCTGTCTTTTGTTCTTCATTATTCAATAACCTCATGTCCTTTGTCCTTCTCCTTCCCATGCCTCTCTTTGATCTTTCTCTCATTCATCCTTTTCTCAATATTTGTTTCATGAGAATATGCAAAATGAAAATACTTATTACTAAACAGGCATAGAAGAAAATTGCATGGAGATAATTTTCCTTTTTAAAGTAAATATTTGAAGCATCCATCTAGAGGGTAATTGACACCTCATTAATGCACTGCAGTTTAACTCATTTGCCCTCCTCACAGATGTCTCTTCAGGCTTCTCATAGGGTGTGCATCTGTGGCCTTTTGGCAATGCCCCGAAATATGCTCTGAAAGATAAATTGCCCCAAAGTTAATTTATTTCCATCTAAAAGCAAGAACCTATCCCTCCTTTTTATATATATTTGTTGCAAATTAAAGAGACCATTGCACATTAAGAATTTTTGAAAAGTTATTTTAGCCTCAGAAATACCCACAGCATCTTGTAGACTCTGAAGAGTGTTTTCAGTTGTACTATCATATGATATATGATTATCTTATCAAAACATTTGAATTTTGTTTTGTTTTGTTTATGAAACAGAGTTTCTTTGGCCTGTTCTGGAACTCACTCTGTAGAATAGGATGTCCTTGAACTCACAGAGATCTGCCTGCTTCTGCCTCTCTAGTGTTGGGAGTAAGTCTTGAGCCACCACTGCCCAGCTGATATATTTCAAATTTAATAGACTTCTTTTTCACAGCAACTCAATTTCCCCACATATTGCTATAAAAGCCCAACTTTTAATGTGACCTTCTTATGGTCACCTATGGAAATCATTGAGATAATCTACTTGATTCATGGACATGTTTGAAGATGCATCAGAGAATTGACTCAGTTTTAGTTTTGAGTTGTACACTATACAAAGGATCTCAAACCAACATGCTGCAAGATGAGGACTGAGCACAATTGAGTAAAGATACCATTTAGGATGGCTTTGAGACAAGACATCCTCTATCATTTTGATTATACATTTGGTACAGAAGTTATGAAATAATATTGGCATAAATTGTGTGGAGATTATTATCACACATAAGGCTTGTGTGGCTAATGACAAGGTAGAGATTTGACGTAATTAGTCCATAATTCAGTTTCAAAACCTGCTGTGGAAGAAAGAGCAGGAGTTTCTGGCTTGAGTTTAAAGACTAGCTGTCAAAGCTCATTAAGTCCTCCAAATAATTGCTTAGGACTTTGATGTACACTTCCTGGAAGACAGATCATATGGTGTAGTCTCTTTTGACTCAACTTCTTTTCAAATGAATAATACAGTCCACAATCGGAATATTTCATAGAAGTCTTACTAAGTTTGTTTTCTCTCTGACATCACAATCAGACAGGAAGTATTTCCATGGTCATGGTGCTTTTTTTCAACATAATGTAATACACAACTCTAACAAATAGTTCTCTTCTGTGTTAATGAGCATCTATCCCTTTGTCTCTTCATTTTATTTTGTTTGGGTTTCTCACTTTGTAACTTCCTATAGTCAAAGAATATATTGTCTTAATTAAACATTGTTGTTATATACACATACACATGAAAGAAAATCAAAAGAGAAAGACACAAATAGTCAAATTTGTAGTAGAAAATGATCCACAAGACTTTTATAAATTGCTTCCTGTCTCTCATCAATTCAAATGATATTTGGTTTTGATATGTCTTATTTCTTCTGTAGTAACCATGGCTTTTGTAGTTTTGTTGATTTCCCTGTTCCTGAGTGAATAGGTTTTGTTTTGTTTCTTTTTTCTTTTTCTTTTTCTTTCTTTCTTTTTTTTTTTTTTTTTTTTTTTTTTAAAGAAATGGCTTGACTCATAGAACTTAGTATGTGGGAAGTACTTGAGAGGCCAAGCATGGTTGTTGTTTACTTGTGTATTGAAAGTTTCATAGAAAAAGGTGGTGTACTGGAATGCCCATGATGTAGGTGGGAAAATAAAAGTTGTATTTCTTCAGGATTATTTATTCTGCCACCACTAAACAAGTAAGCAGCAGAATCTAGTCTTCTTCATGTAGGAACCAAAATACCAAAATTTACTTCAGTAGGTCCAAGGTGACTTCTGTCACCATGTCATTTTTCTTTCATGAAAACATTCAAATGGTAATACCTAATTATTTTTAAATTTTGGTAAAACAAAACAAAACAAAGTTTACTGCCTTAACTGTTGAAAATACATCTCTTTAGTACTATAAGTTTGCTCCTAACCCTGCACAAGCTTCACCTCCTACCAGCTTCTAGAGCACCTTCTGCTCAGAGCACATAGCAGCACAAAAAGGGTGTCTCTTTGTCATTTATTCATCTAATTTAGGAGAGTCACCTAGGATCTGGCCAAGTGGTAGCTCATTTGCATATTTCCTGATGACTTAAAGCTGAGCCTTTTTCTTTTTTTAATTAACCGCTACTACAAGTTTCTGCTCAGTTTCTCCATTACTGACATTTTGTGTTGTTTTGTGATGAAATCTTGAAATTCATTTCTTTTTTTTCTTTTTTGTGTATATTTCTTATTCCTTTACTCCTCTTTCTTATTATTTTTGGAACTAGAGGTTCTACCTAACATACTGACATTATACAAATTGAATTGGGATTTTTAAAATTTTTTTTAAATTATTTACTTAGGAAACAGAGAGAAAAATAGAGAGGCATAGTACATGTATGATGGTCAGAGAATAACTCAGAGGAGGGAAAGTTTTCTACTTCTACAGTGAAACCCAAAGGAAGTAGGGTGCCACACTTGTACAAAAATGTAGCATCCTTTCTATGGAGCAGAAGTGGGATGGGGGTCGGTGGGGGTCATGGGAGAATGGAAGGGATAAGGAACTGGGATTGATATATAAAATAAGATTGTTTCTAATTGAAATTTTAAAATGTAGCATCTAAGCTTTACTGGCAAACCTGCAGGTCTGCCTTGCAGCCTAGGTAGACAGGAGTTCTGCCAGCACATCTGTCATTCAAGATAGAACCGATTCTGTTGTTTCCAACTCCAACACCTTTCTTGATATATTTTTTTTAATTTACTAGTATTCATAGAGGAAAAGAACAAAAGCACTGCCAGTAATTCTCAGGATATTTTTATTGAGAATGAAGTATTGACTTAAGTATGCAAAATTTGCAAATCAAGTATTGATAAAATCATAGTAATGTTTTTAAATGATCCATCTTAATGAAAGTATACAGTATTCCCTTACAAAATTCAATGTAAATTTAAGCTCTCCCTAATTGTTGAGAAATAGTACATCTATTTTCGATGAAATATAAACTGCCTGGATTAACTTTATTTTCTCACAAATTGATTTATTTTCTTTGGAAAATGTTAACACGGAGGTATCAAAACAATGTTAATTATGAATGGACTTTATCCACAGGAAAACTTTGTTTATTTTTCAAGATAAATTATATCTATAAAGTTCATTTGAACTATAATACAGCAAACCAGTTTTGCATCAATAGCAAAGAAGCACAAGAATTTTCATTCAATTAATAAGAAAAATTTTTTTGCTACCTTTTATTGAAAATTAATTTTTTATACAATATATCACAATTACAGTTTCCCTGCCCTCTACTCCTCACTGTTCCTGCCCATGATCATCCCCTCTGGATTTACTGCCTTTCTTTTTCTCACTAGTAAAGAACAGTCTTCCAAGAGATAACAACCAAATGTGGCAAAAATATTATAAAAAATAAACTATCATATCTGGGCTAGACAAAGCAAACAAAGTAAGCAAAAGAACCCCAA